CACACAGACACACACACTCCCTCTCACACACACACACACACACACACACACACTGAGTGTTGACAGTAAGACAGCCGGAGACGGGCTCAAATATCAAAACGGCAGAGGAAGTTAGAGACGAGTATTTAGGACAGACTCAGAAATGTGCTGTAAGACACATGCGGCTGTGATGTGGCTGTTTACAGGAGCATTATGGAAGCGTGACGTGTTCTTGTGAACGTCAGACTCATGTCTGTGTTTGTCCATCAGGTGAAGACGCACCTGCAGGCGCAGACGGTGGCGGCCATCGCAGTCGGACACCAGCACAACCATCAGGTACTGAGACATGTGATTCACATCTAATTCAGTCTTATTTTCCAGCACCCACCCAAAATATGTGACCTGAACTGTGAGCACACAGTTGGAGTGTGTGTGCGTGTGCGTGCGTGTGTGTGTGTGTGTGTGCGTGCGTGTGTGTGTGTGTGTGTGCATATGTGTGGACACACCTCTCACTGTTCGGCAGCCAATCAGTGTCCAGCACACAGAGGCATGTGAACTCAGTGTCACATTACACAACTGAACTCAGACCGTTGCAGGATGTTTATCAGCCAATCACAGATCATCATCAGTGTGACATCATCGTAAAGGGTCAATGATAATTACTGATATCTGTCACTTCAGCTTGACAAACATCTCTCATCTGCACACATCCGGCCCTTCAGTGCTCGTTTATGACAGATTCTGGCTAATTTAATAATGACTTTATTTCAGATGTTCTTTTAAGTAATGTGTTTGCAGTAATTATATATGTATTTCAGTGTATTTTAATATATTTTGAGTTTGAGTATATTTGAGTGTATTGTTTGTTTATTGTATGTGTATATTTAAGTATTGTTTAAGTGTATTTGAGTGTATTGTATGAGTATATATTTGAGTATTGTCAGGCAAGTCAGATTGCCAGTGAAATGCTCTCCGACAGCAAATGCAATGATGAGTATATTAGAGTGTATTGTTTGAGTATTGTATGGGTATATTTGAGTGTGTTGTATGAGTGTATTCGAGTGTGTTGTATGAGTGTATTCGAGTGTGTT